GCGCTAGAGCTTGGAGGTGGAAGTGAGCTGCGCTAGAGCTTGGAGGTGGAAGTGAGCGGCTGGTAAGGGTTAAACTTAGAACAAGACCTAAAAACTAATTCCTCTTATTTAGAATAATGACCCCGAGAAGGATAGATTTTTATGAAAATTATAAATATGACCCCGTTTCTACATTTGCCAATGTCACTATACATATGTTGATACCATTGTGTCACAAAACTATGGCATTTATGCATTTTCAAGACAATATGTCGTCTATTAGTGACACTTTATCACAAAGTGTCACTAACGAAGTGTCACTATAAGACAGTTTTCTACTAGTGTATCTTTTATCTTAATGATTCACCAATCACGTGGTGTTCCAAGAAGCAGGAGACTGTCGCGCTATCCTCATGTGAAGCCGAATTTATGGCATCTACAGAGGCAGCCAAACAAGCAATCTGGTTGCAAGAGTTACTTGGTGAAATCATTGGGAAATCGAGTGAAAAAGTGATGATAAGAGTTGACAATAAATCTGCAATTGCTCTTACAAGAAATTCAGTATTCCATGGTCGCAGCAAGCATATACATACTCGCTATCATTTTATTAGTGAATGTGTTGATAATGAGCAAGTGGAAGTTCAACATGTTCCAGGTGAAAAACAGAAGGCAGACATCTTGACCAAAGCACTCGGCAGGATCAAATTCAAGGAAATTTGAAAGCTCATTGGGATTCAAGATGTGTCAAGAATAGATTTCAAGCTTAAGAGGAGATTGTTGGGATAAGCTTGAAATAAAAGAGGAGGAAAAATAATTGAGATAGTATATTTTAGGAGATATCTAAATATACACGATTCTATCTATTAGGAGTTGTCTAAAGATAGAACTCCTTCTTTGTATACAATTAGGATTTATTGTTCTTATAAATAGAGGAGATATCAACGTGTGATAATCCAAGAGAGAAAATTGATAGCTTAAGTTTTGAGAATTTTCTTAAGCAATAAAGAGAGGAATTCTTTATTTTGTTCTTTCTATAAAATATTCATCTAAAAGGTTCTTTAGGGGTTTGCTTTATTATATTATATTATATTATATATTATATAGATATAGATACAAGTGCTGACATGACATAATTAATGGGATTTAACAGCCATGTCAGCATTTTTAACAACCTTTTAACGGATGATAACAGCCAAGGACAAAAAAAGTTGGCTTAACAAGGATCAATAACAACTTTTTTTTATTTTGCAAGGACTTAAATCAAAATACACTATAATCATACGGACCAAAAACATATTTAAGCCTAATAATAATAGCATACTTTTACCGAACTAAAGGTGAGTCTCCGATTATCAATCGACTTTTATTTAAAACAAATGAAAGATGATTTTAGAAAGGTATTTAATAGTAACAATTAGTAGTAACCAATCTAACTAGTAGTAACCAATCTAACGACTCAAACAATCTAGGAAATTTTCATAAACAAGCTCAAAAGTGAAAAAGTATCACTTTATTCAATTTTTTTTCATAAATAAAGTAGTTAAAGTTTACTTTTAAAAGTGATCGTTATCGAAAGGCAGAAGGGTCTAGTCGAGTACTGCTCGTGCTAGACTGCTAGGGCTTGTTTTGTGGCGGCGTTTTCATCCGTGCTTAGAGTAGGAAGGGTAGGATGTCGACCATAGGCGTTAAGCATAAAGGCGAAGAAAAGGATGACACCCCATCCCTGAGGGCCCCCAACACCGACCGGACGGCACGATGGGAGGATGTAAATTGGATAAAGGCGAAGAATGATAGAAAACAGAACAAATAAGAACCATGCCAGTTTAATGATTTCAAACAGGTTTATGATCATCTAGCCTTGGAGTAAGAAGATGAAGTGTTGATGGTCCGTCCCCCTCTTGAACCGTCACCGTGGAGTGAACAAGTGGCTAGAGTTTGAAAGATGAAATTTCAAGTTCGTATTTGACCACATCTATGTAGTTATTTGCTTTGTTTTTATTTGAAGATTTATTACTTTTTTTCGTTAGACTATTTACCTTGTTTTTGGTTTGTTTGTGTATTGTGACAGTCTTGAGAATTTGAGATGTCTAGTTTAGCTATGATTGGAGGTATTGAAAGGTATAACACAGTTAATTGCCCGGAAGCTCCCACAACATGTTTAGCGAAAAGTTCCGCTCAGTATTGGGTGAATTTTTCTATGTCTGACCGGCGACTGTGGAGACTCTTTGGCTATTATGAGTCTAGTGAAGTGATAAAGAGTACGATGACCGTAAATGTTAGTAAGAACTCTATATTTCCCGTTTGGTGGTCAAGGTTTGCGCGACTTCTTTGAACGTGATTTTATGGCTTTTCTCGAGTCTAGATGAAATGTTTTGGAAGACAATGATGTCTTTTGAGCTATTGGTTCACTATAGCTCTGGAGTCCATTGGTATTTTAATATAGTTTATCGTTTGCTTAAGAAAGTAACAATCAATAGTATTTGAGAAAAAAACTCATTTGAAAAAGTAAAAGTTGATAGTATGTAGTAAAAGAAATGTTTCTTTTTGTGTAATAGAAAAATTGAAAAGCATTTTAAAGCGTTCATTTAAAAAAAGGATTTTAGATAAAGTGCTTTTTCAAGAAAAACGCCAAAACTTATATTAAAAGATCTTTAGCCAATCGGCTTACAATGAAAGATGGGGGAATAAAATGTTTAAATCCACAACCAGACTATACAACCAGCTGTACGGTGCCAGCCGTACAGCCGGTGGCATTTTTGTAATTTTGGTGAAAAACACGGCTCCTCTTGAATGAGCATTTACGCAATATTGTTGATCATCAAGCCGTTTCTTTTGAGTATTGGGAGCCTAAAAATGAGCATCCGTGTTCTCTGCTTTATACGAAGTATATTCTAATTGGCTTTCTTTTTATTAATTTTTGGTTTATTAATTTTTCGTTTGAAATGTGCAACATTTTAAAATTAGCATAAAGAAGCACCAAATAAACATACATAACTTAAAAAATGAGTAACAAAAAACTTAAAAGCTTATTCGTGTATGCTCATTCATTTTGGGTTGCATACTCATTTGAGTTTAACACAATGTAGTATGATATGTTTAAAATGTGCAGCATTTTAAAATGAGCATAAAGAGACACCAAATAAACATACATAACTTAAAAAATGAGTAACAAGAAAAAACTTATTCGTGGATGCTCATTCATTTTGTGCTGTATACTCATTTGAGTTTAACACAAAATGAAGTATGATATGTTTGAAATGTGCAGCAGTTTAAAATGAGCATAAAGAGGTACCAAATGAGCATACATAACTTACAAAATGAGTATAGAAAAATTCAAAAGCTCATTTGTGTATACTCATTTATCTTGAGTTCTATACTCATTTAAGTTTAACATAAAACTCATTTCTAATATGTTCAATATTCATTTGTATATGCTCATTCATTTTATGCTTATACTCATTTTCCAGATTCCTAAATCTCAGTTTCCTAAATCTCAATATGTCATCTCTGTATTCTCTGGCAGCACCCGTAGTCTCTGTATTCTTTCTTCTCGCAGGGCCCTCGCAACACATGCCAACAAAGAAATCCCAAGACCCGCCCGTCTCTTGTGCAGCAAAAGGACCTCCATGCTTGAGGAGAAGTGAGCGGCGACGAGGAGTAGTCAACCGAAGGGGAAGATCGAAGAATCGAAGCGAGATTGAAGAAGCAGGCGTGAACGGGAAGATCAGAGAAGTCCGATGCTAGGGAGAGAAGCGCAAGGGCTTAAAAAGGGTCGGCTGTACCGTGCGCACGGTACAACCGGATGTAGGATGTAATTTACCGCTTGCCTTCTGCAGTTTTGCATCGGCCACTTGGATTATTAAATTTGCATCTTCACGCAAAAGAGATTTGATATTTGAAGTAGCATTGACTTGATAAGTATTAGCATGCTTATGTATACCTGAAATAACCAATGGCACATCAGTTTCAATTAATACCCTTAGTTTCCCGAGTACTAGCTTTGATAAACAACCAATTGCTATCACGTGCAACCCACCCCCAAGTTGATCGTCCATCCCTCTCAGGTTTCTGCAATATGAGATGTGTTTTTTGGACTGAAATTCACTGGTCTGGTAAATGTCTGGTCTCTGTGTATTTTATAACCACGAAAGTATGGTCTAGTCTGGTCTGGTCTGGTGTGGGACTGAAAACAGTTCAGAAGAAAACATCCATGGTACCTATTAGTTGTGTAACTGCATCCCTGACTTTGTTGCTTCTTTCTCGACTAACTTTCAATTATTTAGCATTGCCTCTGCAGTACATATCACACCCCTTTTCGAAAGAGTCCTCCCTTCCAAACAATTCCGTTCCGAGCTTTCCAAGTACTCCATAGTAGCTTGATAACATTACATATTTCCTCCTCGATCGAATTCCCAAAACCAGCTATAGCCAATTCTCAATCGAGTTTCCCCTCAATAGAGATACAAAACCAGCATCCTTCCATATTCCATGAACTCTCCGTCATTTCAAAAAGATGGACCGACGTTTCAAAATAGTTTTGAAAAAGTAAAAGTTGGTAGTATTTGATAAAAAAATATTTTCACAAAAAGTGAAAAATAATTTAAAACATCTTCCACCTACTTTTAGTTTTGAGTGCGTAATTTAAAAAGAAGTTGTCACTTAAAACAATTACTTCAGCTTTTCAAGCCAAAACTTGAAAAACATTTTTTATTAGAGTGCACAATATTAAAAAAAAGTGTAATACAACTTCACAATAATTAATCAAAACACACGATATTAAAATGTTTATATCTTACATTTGGTAAATAAAGCACCTCAAAATAGTATAATAACATATTGTCATGATTCATAATTCCTAAATTTTCGAAACTCTGATATAATATATATAATTTCAGAGGTAATTATTATCAAACTATTGAATTGTGAACTTCTTACACAACCAAAACTCATAGGAAGATGAAATATAAAGGTCTCTTAAGAGAATTAACTTATCAACATGATCATCATGTACATAAATTAGTGTTTTAACTTCTACGTAAGAAAATATCATATCTATCTACTCTGAAAATTAAATGCCTTAATGGCATATGCGAAAGTGAATCCAAATATGACAGGGAAGGCCACATTAACAGCTGCCACCACTCCAAGAAAATCATGTTTGAATCCAAAGTAATCATCTAAGAATTGCTTCACTGTTTGATTAGAACCACTCATTTCAACATCAATATCTCCAAATTGTGAGACCACTAATCCATACAATGTCCATGCCACGGGGCATGCCCAGTAGTACCACCTCCACCATATAGGTATTCTCTGTTATATGAAAAGTACAACAAAATTTAATAAGTACGGATAATTGAATCGACAATGATGCGGAAAGAGTATTGAAGTATTACCATACATCAATTAAAACATGAAATACGGAGTAATAAATAAACATGTTGGTCAAACTTTTGGGAAGAAATTATGAGACTTAATATGACATCAAAGTTTAGCGGTCTCTGGTTGCAATTTGATTGGATCTAGAATTTGGATATTCTATTTGGCATCCAACCCCATTTATATCCACGTCTCAACTTGGTCAATTCATTTTGGATCAAAAGATGTGTTGAAAATTTTGTCTCACATTGGTCAAATATACAAAAACTACAACAACATATAAGATTTAAAGCTAACACATCATCTCAATAAGTGCAAATTAAACTTACAGGTCGTGGAACAATGAAACCAGAAAATAGATTCCACGCCCCATAGAAGAAGACGGCGACAATGGATGCAATGCTTTCGTTGGGAGTAACAGCCACAGACATCATGCCGTAGAGGGTGAAGTATAACAATGTGAAGAACATTATGAAAATGTACCAGAAAAATTTGGCTACCGTCCATTCAAATCCAATCATGGCATAAACAAGCACACCATACACTCCTGATTGTAGAAGTATGTAAGGAATTTCAATAACAACCTGTTAAAAAATAAAAATGTAAGACTTTACCATTCACATTTCTATTGTGGCAACAAAAAAGTAGAAACCTTACTTGTCCAAAGGCATATGGTAATGCAGAATACATTCCAGCTGCCTTCTCCCTATAGAACACAGTGCGTTCAACTGCAACCACAGGTTGTACTGCAGAAGAGTTTTGTACGCCTAGGAAGAGAACAGCAGTATACATGGATCCCATAGCATTAAACAAATCTTGCCTCTTTCCACTGAAATATGAGAAAATAATAATAAAGAATAAACACATATATAGCCTCTAACTTTTAAAATGATTAAGATATTGAACATTTTTATCATTTCCAAAAGGCCAGTGATCAAAATATGATTTATTTATCTAAAATTAATATTATATCCCTGCTTTTCTCTTTCTAACATGCCGAGAAAAAGTCATTAGACAAGGCATTTTCTAAAGATAATGTATGCGTGTAGTGTCACTAGTAGTGAGATCTTAAGTCCTATTTTAGATAATTAAAATATACTTATGTTTTTCTTCATTAGTATTGTTTTAGTAATATTAGAAGAAAGCTCCACTTAGAAAACTAACATCTTATTCATATACACATGTTAGCTAGGATTAAATTGAACTATTCAAGGAGTTTAGGCTTACGTTTTGGTACCCAGGTCCCAAAACATTGTCCCAAAAGCCAATGCTATGACGGCTGTGAAGAGGAATCTAACTGAAGTGTAAGATGTGTTACGCCAATAGGACCAGTGTTGCTTCCATAGACATGCCATACATTGACTCCAAAAACCTTGTGAATACTGAGTTGGGAAATACAAATCCGTGGAACCGGGACGGGGTGTGCTTAATTCACTTATTAGTGCTTTATTCCTTCTGTAGAGATCTGAATTCTTATAGATGTCTGAAAAGTCAACTCCTAACAACATTTCTTGGGCAGAAGATGTCACTTCCAACATCCATGTTGCTGGATTGTACCCATCCTTGACTTTTCCAACTCCGCTAATGGCCTATTTTCACCCGAGTAAATTTAATTAGTAGTATGATGACAAAATAAATGTTAGATCTTTGAAGTTTTGAGACTCACCTCAAAGTAATTGACCAAATGACATGAATGATGCCCCAATGGTCCGACATAAATCTCTTGTCCTCCTCTCTTCATTAGAAAGAGCTACAAAATTCATATATTCTCATCATCTTATTGTTTCAAATTAAGAATAATAAACTAGCTTTAACATAAGACAATATTTAGTCAATAAATTGTACCTCATCGAAAGCTTCAAAAATGTCTATGCTAGGTTGATGAATGGTGCAAACTACGGTTCTACCAGTGTCAACAGTGTTCCTCACAGTTCTCATGACAATTGCAGCAGCTCTGGCATCAAGTCCAGAAGTTGGTTCATCCATGAATATGATTGAAGGGTTTGCCACTAACTCCACTGCTATTGTTAGCCTTTTCCGTTGTTCAGTTGATAGTCCATTAACTCCAGGCAACCCAACAAGAGCGGGTTTCAATTCATTCAACTCAACAAGTTCCATTACTTCATCAACAAACATCTACAATTATATTACCCTAATGTTAATGTTCTTACATCGATAACTAAGAACTCATATATATGTAGTGATTAAGGATTTTATGTTTTCAAATTGGGGGTTTCATTCGAAAATTTTCACCTGATGTGATGAGTAGTCCATGATCTTATATGTGGATTAGTCGTGTTATATATTGATCTAACATGGGAGAAACAGTTCAGAAATATGATTTGTATAACCCTCTAACCTTTCTCGTTTTAGCATCAACATCTTTAGGCAAACGCAACCAGGCTGAGTACACCAAGGACTCGTGAACAGTGACAAAGGGAGAATGGATATCATTTTGTTCACAATATCCTGAAATTCGTGCAAAAGTTTCTTGTTTTTTAGGAAATCCAGATATTTTTATATCCCCATCAATGTGTCCACCAGTTTTTCTTCCAGCCAAAACATCCATAAGAGTTGTTTTCCCGGCCCCGCTCACTCCCATCAAAGCAGTAAGAACGCCTGGTCTGAAAGCTCCACTCACACCCTTTAAAAGAACTAACCTATCCTCAGTGGCACCTTGATCTTTCATTTCCTGTGGCATGTCGACAGAGTAGACAACATTGTCAAATGTAAGGGAATGGGGTTCAAATGGAAGAACCATTCCTGTCTTCGAGTTGTCATTCTCTACGAATTGGGATTGATTATTGATGTTTTGGGTTGAAGCAAATTCACTTTCAGAATCAGCTGGTACATGAGCTTGAGGTTTGCCAAATGCTGTCAAACGTGTTGTAAGTAATTAATAAAAAACTTTAAGCATGGTTTGATGCTGAGGATATTACATCATGGTTAAGGGACAATGATACTTACGATTTAGAAATTGGAGAGCTAGAGTATACAAGATGTTGAAGAGCACTATGAATCCAAAGAGTGCAACCACACCTATCCAATACCATTTAGCTTCTGGGAAGAATCCTCTTGATTTCATAACTGCATCTCCAAGTGGTTCAGTACCATTTGGGGCGATCTTTTCAAACACAATGTCAAAATTTTAGTTTGATTAAAATAATTAAATATGCCTTAAAATGTCAAGTCACATTGAAATATAGGTGTGTACATGTCTCCAACTCTTCCCGTTAAATTCATTAACAAGAATTGCATTCATGGTATACATCAATGGGGAAGACCAATAGCCCCAAATCCACCAACTCTTCACATCATCTGCAGAACCAAAATGAAAACGAATGAATCTATATATGTTAGTTCATTGCATAATAAATAAATAATTTGCGTATACAAAAGCATTAGTTGGAATTGAGATTATTTCTATAAATAGGATTACTTATATTTTATTCCTTAACTAGCAAGTATTTTATCTAAATAAACTCATAGAGTGTAAACTACGTAAACTTGACTAGGATTCCTTAAACATTAATTTTCAATTTTGACAGTGGTGGCAGTTCACCAACAACGTACACTTTCTATTTGTGGATTTTGATGAAGTTCTACCATGAGATGTCAAGTGAACTTTCTACTGGTCAGTTTTGGTGGTAACATCTAAGAGTGGTGTATCTCAAACTTTGGCAATCAGTAAACTTAATGTGTTTGCAATTAATTATTCAGGGTAATAGAACGAGAGATACTTTGGTCAATTACACACACACACACATAAGTCCTAAAAATATTTGTATGCCTATTTTAAGGAAAATGATATGTTATTCACTTATTCTTCCATTAAAGAAATTTCAACAATAATAAACAACCATTAATACACACTAACCTCGAGAGAGAACAAAGCCACCCAAAGCAAACAATAAAAGCAAAGCAAATGACCCATATGTGTTTGCAACTCCCATAGTCCTACCCATTGCTGCAATCAATCGAAATAATGAAGAAGCCATTTGGTTCAACATTACCAATATCAAGAACTGTTTGAACAACCTGAATTAGTAGAATAGTTACCAACTTCTTAGTAAAATGATAATATAGTATCACAAGTGATGAAATTGAGATGCATATTAGTACAATTGTTACACTATTTGTACCTGCTAACATTTGGATCAAACCCTATGACGTAGTAAGAAATAAACACCCAAAGGCTGACTTCAACCAATGTAATAGGCACTTTGAGGATCCACGAAGGAATAGAATAAGCCCAAGGGGGGAAGAACCGGAGGTCTCTTTGCTTGTAGAACACCGGGAGCTTATAAATGGTCATTGGAAGCTCTGACATACCATTGAACATGATCATAATCACGCCAAAAAATAAGGCACCCACAAAAATCCCACCATCGGTTTCGTTATCTCTTTTCATTTCCGTTCGCAAAAATAGAGTCATGCTAACAGAACACATTATCAAAAGCTGGACATAGTTCATAAACAAATATCATCAAATCAGTAACGGCCAGGATGAAATAAAAAGAAAAGAACAATTTAATAAATGGTGAATAGGTGTAAAACATAATGAAATTTCTTGAGTAGCATGTTTTATAGGAGTAAAAATGCATTGATAATTTCCCCCCTTTATTATTACATGTATTTGTTTGAGAAATTACAAATATACCCTTTGAAGTAAATATAATGAAAGACATATATCTATCTACTATCTTTGAGTACCATGGAACTCGTAAATTATAAAGTTAGAACAAATGTCCTTACATCCAAATACTTGGTGTGTGTGTGTGTGTGTGTGTGTGTGTGTGTGTGTGTTTTGATATGTATTTAAGAAGCTCTGCTCTAGAACTCACTAGGCGCTAGTTGGGCGATTGCGGAGCGCCTAGGCATAGACTAGACGCCAACTAGGCCGAGTTTTTTGCCGACTAGGTCGATTAGGCCTCCATAATAAGGAGTCGCCTAACGTATATACATTGATCAATCGAACCAACTAGGACATGTTTTTTGCAAAAACTAGGACGCTTTTTAGAACAGTGTTAGAAGTATATATCTTCACTTGTATACAAGTCTAGAATATATTTGTTTAATTCCAATACTATAGTATGTACTTTATGTGTAATTGAATCTAAAAGAGAGTTGAAAAGTATTGGTAGCCTTTCCATATAAATTAAAGGCATATATAAAAGGCATACATATATTATTTTCCCTTTTTTTAAATACAAAAAGAAAGTATCAAATTCAAGGGCATCACAGCTTGTTGGCACCACCGTTTCTGCTGCCCCCGCTTACATGTCAATGCTGCGGCCCTCCAACACTAAACCCTAAATGATAAAGTCCAAAAAATACAAATGCTAAACTCCTACAAGCTACAAGGATAAAATTGAAGATATTTGTCCTTAAATATTATTAAAGAAAAACTTATAGACAAAACTATTATGTAGTATTAAAGTTACCGTGAGTGTATTGTCACGGTCACCACAATCTAAATTTGAACGCAATAGTAATAATTAACGTTATTGTTGTAGTCACTGAAATATAAAAAGTCACATTTTAGTCCCTAACTTTATTTTAGTCATATATTCATCCTTATTTCATAATTAAAACTGAAAGCTTTTTGGTTAAGGGTAAAACTTATGAAGGACTCATATGTTGGGTAACTAAAGCTTGTGGTTAGATTTTGTGTTTTGTTTATATTTTACTCCTAACAAAATATATTTGTTATAATGCTCACCTGAAAGAACTTGAAGATGTAAGCAAATGAGTTTCTTTGCATTAGCAAAAACTCTCTATCTGTGCAAACTTTCAAGAGCTGCCTCTTCCCTATACCATAGTTCCCACTTGTTAAGGCGGCAGGGTGACTTTTTGTTTTATCGAATGGTACTGAAAGCTCATCTGTCATTCTCCTCCCAACATGGAAAGATTGGTACGCCTCTGCAAATTCCTTAGCCTTCACAAACCTATAAGGCTCGTTTCTGCGAGTCCAATATTGTTGTTGATCTTTCTTTGAAGTTACCTGTCAACAACTAAACTTAGTATATTGCAAAGAAAAATCATTCATAGTTCGTTTACTCGGAGGTTTTAATTTTCTACATTATTATTCTCTCCGACCTGCTAAGATAAAGCGTACGTTTCATTAATCATTCAAAGAAAAAGCATACTTCTTGTAAGAAATCAGCAACGCCTTTTCTCTGAGGGCATTTGAAACCCATGGATTCGAAAAAATCCAAAATGTCTTCGCGGGGCCCATTGTAAACGACGTACCCTTCCGACAACAGAATGATGTCATCAAATAGATTGTAGGTCTCAGGTGCCGGTTGGAGCAGGGAAATGACCGCAGTACCCTTGAGAATGTGGACAAATTGCCGCAGCGAGTTGACAATAGAGTAGGTTGTGGAACTGTCGAGCCCCGTCGAGATTTCGTCCATAAAAAGAGCTTTTGCCGGTCCAACGAGCATTTCACCGGTGGTGACACGCTTTTTCTGGCCACCGGAAATACCTCGTACCATCTGGTCTCCGACCATTGTGTCTGCACATACTTCTAATCCTAAAACCTACACCGTATAGACATGTTAGCAATGGCGGAGCCAGAAAATTGGCAGGGGGTCGAAACTCAACTTATATACAGAACGAAAATGATGGATCATTTTTAAATAACATTCGAGTTGAATATTTCATATACAGTTTAGATAGATAGATACCCGTAGCAGTAAGATCTTCCCACTTTATTTTTTCAATTGTAACGAAATAATCTTCCCATTTCAAAACTTTATCATCATACTCTCAATAATTTTAAAAACAATAAACTATATATTACACGTACTCCTTTTGGATTTCTTCCTATTTCATCACACTATTTCATTATCTTCTTATCATACCCTCAATAATTTATATCTCCTTTAACTATTTATAATCTTATCCAGTTTTAAAGTGGGAAGATCTCAACATTAGGGAGGTAATTTTTCGGGAAGGCCGAGGAATAATACTTATTAAACCCACACCATACACAGGAGTATAACTCCATACAATTACTCCGTTAAAATGATATACTATCAATGTGTTTTATCTTAATTTCTTCCGAGTACGTTTTCTTGACTTTAAATTATATCCGTTGATGAGTTAATTAAATACCTTGAGAATATAATCGGTCACCACATTGGCTTCTTGTCCTTCAGTAGCTGCAGCCTGTATAATCATTTAAAGGAATACTATAAGAAAAAACAATAGCAACAAATAGGAAGATGATTTAGTTTATACGGATTATTTAAGTCAAATAGTGATAAACCATCACCCAATAGGGTATTTTGGACAGTTTATATGTCGTTAAAGGTATTAGAAAATTAAAAGTGTAGCTTATAAAGTTGAATAACATGCACTTGTATATATAATTACTTAATCTTACTCAGAAGTAAGATTACATTGTTTTGAATTTTCTAAATATGACTAATTATGTGTGTTTGAACAAATATGTATCCATAACTTTTTGGACTGTCCAGCTCACCGCCGCCGGCCGCTGCCCGCGGTCAGTTGCCCTGCCCGACGCCACCTTCGGAATCCGGGATCCGAAACCTCTGCCATACTCCAAGGCAAGGCACAGTGCCCGGCTATAGAGAACCGTCCGATCACAACATGGACGGTCGGAGATATTGAGGTGCAGATCCCTCATCCCGATGCTTCTCTTCTTCCCATCCGACGGTCCCCTGCGCGCAAGGCAATCTGCCGTGCGGCAGAGAATCCCAATCGCGGAATCCGACCCAAAATTCCATATTCGTGTGTGTTTGCAATTAATCTTTCTTATCTGGTCCTTTGACCATTTAATTAATTTCTTATTTTCAGTGAATATGACAGGGAAGTGATGATATTTTACCATATTGACGTTTTGACAAATCAGATCATGACCATAAATGGTACTTTTTGGGGTAAAAGTCTGGGTACACACCCTTACCCAAAAAGTCTAGATCCCATTTTGTTGACTGTTTGACAAGTCTGAATATTAAGAATGGTCATGTTTTTCTTTGCGCGCTAGAAAATGTTTTTGCATACCTAGCCACCTAGTTCTTAGAGTAGAAAATTCATATTTTTTGCTAGAATTTGATGCCTCTAATTTTGTCTTCATGCTATAATGATACGTAGGTCCATTCAGAGTTAATTGATGTTTTTCAAGTGAAGTTACAGTTTATTAATCCGGTTCTAAACAATGTGCAGTATAGAATTAACAAATTAAATACTCCGTATAATTTATGGAAAATATTATTTTTCTTAATATTTAAAAGTGACATTTTAATGTGTTACTCACTCACTTATATATAAAAATAAAAGATGCATTCAAAAGTTAAATCCATGGGGCGTTTACCAAAACAAATTCAAAATGTACGAACAAGCTCCGATCTCCACCTTCTAATTAATTGAAAGGGTATAAGATCAGAGTACTTGGGATTCAACCAGCTTTACATTTCTTTTTGGTTTGAAGATTAAGGGAATTTGGAATTGATTCTGCTTCTTTTTCTTTTTTAAAATAGAAGCAGAATCAGAATTAGTTTTCAAAAATTGATTCCTCCAGCTTCTAAAAAAGGTAATTCTAGGAATCAATTAGAGCATTAGAAGTACTTCTGTATTTTTACCGAAACACTCTAACTGCTGCTTCTGCTCCTTGAAAAAGCAGAAACAATTTTAAAAATCAGATCTAAACACCCCTAAGTTTGGAAGTGGACCAACTTTATTTATTAATACAATGTTTAAATTTAGGTCCTTCCAATGAAAAATAGTACATTGTGTAAAGACGACTAAACGGATATTTCATACAAAAGGTCATCTCAAAGGGATACTTTTAGGAGGCGGATCTTTCACAAGGTATGATTATTGTGCAAAATTTTGTACGATGCATCTTTACATCATTTATACTGCATTTTGATATTCAAAGTGTTGCATATTATTTTCTGATAAAATAAATAGTTCTATATTAATGTTTAAAGCGCTGAATTCAAAAAAAATTGATTTTATTACCGGTGTCTGCTTTTACAACCATTAGATCAATTCAATTGGTGTATATATAATTCACGAATTGCACATATCCTAATTAAGTGAATGAAATGAGTCTTTTTGATCCAAAAAGTCATTTTTTTGTGATTCACCTACATAAAAAATGAGACTTTTATTTAGGGATGGCAATGGGGCGGGGTTGGGGCGGGGGTTCACTCCCCCATCCCCCGCCCCGTGTCTAAAAAATCGCCCCCACCCCCGCCCCATCCCCCATTATTATTCGACCCGCCCCATCCCCGCCCCGACCCGCTAGACCCACGGGTACCCAACGGGGGAAGTACTCGTCAAAAATTACCATCATTTTAGACTGACAATTTTTCAAAAATTAAACAACACTTCTAGTAGTCAAAAAAACTTTTACTTTTTTAAGTGTCAATGTAATCATACATTTCATTTCAAATCTAGAACACATAATATGCGTTCTAATTTAGTCATTTTTATCAAACTCTAAATTAGCATTGATTAGCTCTATAATATTTTCTTAAATCCTGCATTCAATCAATCATGGTCATTTGACGTCATCTAGGACGACCTATGATTACCAAATTTTAAGAGTCCTAACTACAATCATAAAGATGACATTCAAAAGAAAAGAATTAATGCATTGTAATAGTAAAGGAAAAAAACTTTCACACCGTGCCTGGGGCGTTTAAGCTAATACTACGTATCACTTTATAACTTTCTCAAATTCATTTTACTTTATCCCTAAAAAAATCATTTTACTTTATGATTTTGATTAGCAATTTTACAAGATAGCTTAGTTATTAAACAAGAATTAGATAGACCCATTGGGCACAATCCATTAGATAGGAAACCACTAAACCCACCGGGCCACCATGCTATTTTAATTACTCCGTATTAGTATTACTATTATTATTAGTATTATTATTGAGATTATTATTATTAATTATTACGGGGGACGGGGCGGGGGCGGGGCGGGGGGTGCATAACCCATCACCCGCCCCATATTTATGCGGGGAGAAAATATCTCCCCCACCCCACCACCCGCCCCACCCCACCACCCGCCCCAACTCCCCCCATGGGGCGGTTCCCCACGGCCCCCCCGCCCCCATTGCCATCCTTACTTTTATTAGGTGAATGAAATGAATCAGTTTGACCCAAAAAGTCAATTTTTGCAATTCAATTAGGTCAATTATTTTTTACCCAAAAAGACTAATTGAATTATATATCTATTCATACTAATTAAGTGAATGAAATGAGTCTGTTTGACCCCAAAAATCAAGTTTTGCAATTCACCTACATAATACATGTTGTATTATGATTGCAATTAAAATAAATTCAAATTTCAATTATAAAAAAAAGTTATTTTAGAGCAATTTAGGTCGATTATATCAATTTGTCATTTATATATTACTTCCTCTTTCTTTTAAAGGAAATATTCTTTAAATTGGTCCACATTTCCTCTCCTTTCTTGACGTTACATAAATTTTGGTCATACTTACAATTTATATATTTTTAAGACTATGTAATAATAACAAGGAAGATATATCTTTATAAAATGACTACATTGATGATTGACAGTTTAATTAAAAACGTTTTTAAATTCTATAATAGGATAATCATGTTTTTTATTCCATGAACATGAGTAATCTGCTATGTTTGGAAAGAAATGTCATGTTTAAAGTCTAGTAATGCCAAACATGACAAAAGTTTATTCAGGAAATAAAAAAACATGATAGTCCTATTAGACAATTCACAATTCTCTCTTTAATTAATCAAGGAAAAAAGAAAAGTAAAAAGTAACAATAATAATAATAATACGAAAAAGACGATCAGATCGATTCAACACGTATCTGACTTGTTTACCTTCATGTAAACATCAACATCTGGATCCGGTTTTAATTAATCAAGGAAAAAAGAAAAGTAAAAAGTAACAATAATAATAATAATACGAAAAAGACGACCAGATCGATTCAACACGTATCTGACTTGTTTACCTTCATGTAAACATCAACATCTGGATCCGGCTTTATATTTGCTGCCTTCTCTCTTCTTGACAACTCCACCAACATTTCTAGAATAGAAACATTTCCCAAACGTTTAACCAAAGAAAATAATGGAACTAGGCAAGGTTTTATAAACACAAAACAAATATTTTTTCTCAAAATAATACCCAAATTTAATGGGAAAATAACTTTAAATAATACTCTGGACAAACTATCTACCATAAACTAAAAATAATACGTACTTTGGAAATTACTTTTAATAATATCAACTATTTAAAAATATAGACCAATAGTGATATAGAACAATTTTTCAATGAAAATTCAATTATTTAATTCATCAAAAGCAAGTATCAAAATATCAAATAAGTGATTGTATTTTCAAATATCATTTATTTGATAATTCTCTATTAGTTTTTAATGTCTTAAATGACTGGATTTCTTGTGAAAAAGTGACTCCATATTGTTTTTGGTTTGTACTCAAATAATTGGTATTATTAAAAATCATTTCCAAAATATGTATTATTATTGGTTTATGGGTGATAATTGGTATTATTTAAAGTTATTTTTCCAAATTAAATTCATAAATAAAAATGTGATCAAAATTACTATCATGTTCACACAATATAATACTATTATTGAACATATTCATAGTCATTAAAGTTGCTCAAATATTTACCACGCATAAGATTCACTTTTCTATGTGATTTTTATTTTAATTTTTGTTAAGATTTGGAATTCCATCCTAAAAGGTCCATCCGATAAAAGGTTGAAGTAACCCGAATTTTAATATAGCACTTCATTATTTCACAATCCTCCGGTGTGTGACTTCAACACCTCTCCTCACGACTAAACATTTCGTCTAAATCATGATGTAATTCATTTTTTAGTTGATTCGTCATAGTCATTTTTATAAGCATCTTCATTTTTTTATAAAGGACCCACACCACATCATGATTAAGATCTAGAGTTTCATTTTAAAAGATAACATATGGAAGGAATTCTTAAATTCTAATACGAAGTACATAGTATATAGTTATATACTTACCATAACGAGAGCCGACGCCTTGACATCTAGCAGAGAATTCTAACGTCTCTCTGACAGTCATTTCACCAATGTGCAAATCGTGTTGACTAATGTAAGCAGCCGTTCTTTGGGGCACGAATTCCTTGAGGCTATGCCCGTTATAGGTCACTCTCCCTCCAACCTTTAAGTCTTTATCGAGCTTTCCAGCCAAAGCCAGCAAAAGGGTTGTCTTCCCAGAACCAGGAGGTCCCAACAATAGGGTCATTCTACATGGTTTGACTATTCCACTAATATCATTCAAAATAGCAACCCTCCTCTTTTTGCTCTTGGTTATGTGAAGGACGTTCAGAAAATCCTTTCAAGTGAAAGAAAACATACACAAGATTTGGTTTAGTTTTAGTCATCACAAGTGATTCATATTGAAGTGTACAAACTTTGGTGTATATATAATTCATGAATAACATATTGGTAAAAATAATTTGACAAGACCTTCATTTCATTTACAATTAAGTGAATACACATAATCATATTATAACTCAAAGACTCATGTAGTTATTAATAAAACAAAACACATGGGCATGTGATCACAATTACATCTTGCTTTAAAACCAAGTCTTCCCTCATGATATCATATATACACTATAAAAAATAATGGGATTCACACGGATTTATTGATTTTTTCATGGCAAATAGCTCGTGTCAAACTACTTTTGACACAGATTTAGCATATCCCTGTAAAAAATCATTGACAATCCCATGTTTTTTATAGTGCTATTACTGCTATATGTATGTAGAATACATTAATTTTAATTTTTTAATCTATAACCGAACCTACACTATAAAAAAACTAAGCTACTCTACAAAATCTTTTGAATCGCACAACACAAGAAACAAAAATAGTTTAATCTTACTATACGAGCTAGTATAACATTTGAAATAAAAAAAAAATAAGTTGACAATTTGAATAACGTAGGTGATTATGTGAACCTTAAAGACCTGCCTTTTAGTAATATTGGAAGTAAATTTCTCTATTATATTGTATTATAGATGGGTTTTCTACAAGAATACTACTAAAATAAAACTTATTTACACAAATATGACTATTCATTACTACAATGTAGTGTTGTGGTAACTTATGTTCAAAACTTGAACATTAACTACTATGATTTCATTACTACTCTAGTAATTAATCATATTTTTGTAAACCATCTTTATTTTGGTCATATTTCTGTAATTATTTCATTATGGATTCATTATCCACAATTTGAAATGAACAATCGTTTTTTAAATATGTACCCATGTCAAATAATATTAAGATATCAAAAAATACTTTTTTCTATTAGTATGACTTTTTTTTTATCAAAGAAAGGATTCTTAGATTAATACTTCTATACACATAAAAGACTTGAGAAAAATTTATACATAGGATTTGTACATTATTACAGTGTCTTTTAAAAGTATGTTACAATTTCTTAACGTGCACATAACACACCTCAATGTAATTGGTAAAGAAGTTGATGAAGGAAGGCAAAGCTCTACTGCCTCCATAAGCATCTGCCTCCACATTCAGATGCTCATATCTCACTTCAATGGAAGGAAGATCTATCCCAACTCTGCCAATAGTTTGTTTATACGAGGAAAGATGTAACAGTTTATTAGTTCATATTTTACCGGTACGGAGAATACTTCGATATTTACAAACACGACCTATGATTAATTAATAATTAACCTGTCAATTCTGTTCCTGAGTTTCAACAAGAACTTCTCATTGTCCTCATCGGCGACATTCACGAGCCTCCGAAGCAGATTTTGTCTCTCTTGGAAGCCGAGATCGTCGATATCCACCTCCGTGGCAGGCCCGTGGGAGCCGAAGAGGAGCCCTTTTCGGAGGCGATCAAACGTGGGCAGTTTCTCCAGCGCTGCCCATTTCAAGGCCTCCTCGTCGTCCTCGTCTCTCGACGACCGGGAGAACACCTCCGCGCCGGTGCTCCTCCATATAGAATTGTTGCTTCCTCTCAAACTCCCTACTCTAGTAGAGCTCCCTCTTATGCTCCCTCCTCTTATAATTCCCAAATTCGTAGCCTCCATTATAATTCCCAAAAGCTCACTAGCTCAGAGATGTTTTGGTGGGATAAAGATGGCGACTTGCTTTTATAGTAGTCACTAGTCAGACCCCCGGAATATCTGCAATTTCCTTCTCATTTCATTTTTTTTCTTTCATTTCGATTCGTCACCCCTGAGATCACGACGCCCATTACGTGGTAAATCGGTAATAAAATGTGGGTAACATGGTTGATTCGATGGATTTAATTATTTGCAATTTTAAAGTAAACAGTTAACTATTAGAACATTACTTTTCTTTTTTGCTTGAGAGAGCTTGTGCCAAAAGGTTGAATCCATAACTCAAGAAGTCTATCCATCAATCCAGAAGGGCATATGAGTGCAAATCATGATAACTCAATTAAATTCGGATGCTAGAGTAGCTTCCATTTTGCATAAGGAGTTCTTCACTTTGAGAGGTTGTCTCATATGACTATTTGTTGTTGGCTACTTGGCTAGAATCGATCATGGGACATTTATGTCAAAGTGAAATACTATCATCCGTTTCTTTTTAGTTGGAAAATTTACACAATTTATTTATTAATGTATGATAATTATTTGTTTGAAAAATATTGTGCAATTCATCTAATTAAAAGTTTTCATAATCTGATTTTTAATGTTTTTTACTAATAAAAAATTAAGTGTACTGATGGTAAAAATTGTGCGTTGAGAAGTGTGAAAATATGAATGTTGCAACTAAGGATGTTTTTCCTTGGACTGTAATTTGTCTCAGACAAGACCAGTCCAGACCAGACCAGACTAGTTCAGACCAGACCGGATCAGACTTGGATAGTTATAAAAATACAAAATAACCAGACCTTACCAGATCAGACCAGACCAGTTCAGACCAGACCAGACCAGAAAAACAAATTACAGTCCAAGTAAAAACATCCTAAAAGGGGAAAGGTGCAAATAGGCCCATGTACTAACCAAAAAAGGTCAAATAAGCCCTTATTTAGGAGGCTCTGTCCGGCCGTCACCATTTGGGGTGGTTTCCGGTGGAATTTTTTGATGAATTTTTTTGAGCATCTTATTTATCAAGTCTAGTTTACTCATACTAAATTTCAGCTAAAACTGCGCAGTTAGAAGCGCAGTTATCTTCAAGAATTCATTTGAATGTCTTCCCGATTAAAGTTTTAGCTGAAATTTGGTATGAGTAAACTAGACTTGATAAATAATATGCTCAATAAATTTCATCAAAAAATTCCACCGGGAACCACCCGAAATGACGACGGCCGGACAGAGCCTCTTGAATAAGGGCTTATTTGACATTTTTTGGTTAGTACATGTGCCTATTTGCACCTTTTCCCCAACTAAAAAGAATGGATGAAGTATTAGTTTTGAGGAGAGAGAATTGTCACATATACTCCGTATCATGATATTATTAAAAATAAATGAAGATGAAGAAGTTGTAGCTAACCATTGAAGTAACTTTTACTTTGAAAATAGTTTTACTAGAAACGCGAATGTGGCAAGTCAAATCACATTATATTACTGCTAGCAGGACTCGATCCTGAGTCACTTGTGCCAAATTAAACTTCACCCGTATGAGGCTGTGAACAACTCGGGAAGCTAATTTGCCAAACAGAACTACTCACTTTGATGAAAGAGAATTATTAAATATGATATTATTAATAATAGATAAAGAAAGTGTGGCTAGCTAACTATTGGAACATACATCTTTTACTTTGAAAAATAGTTTTGCAAGATATATTGATGTGGCAAGTAAAATCAGAAGAACAATTAGCTAACCATGAAATACAATTAATGGAATTTTATTAATCCCGAACATGAAAGATAAGTTCACTATCAATAGGGGCGAAAGATAAAATGTGTTGATAGATGTCCTGAATGATTGAAATCAATCAATCTCAAACCTAAAGTATCATGAACTTTAATACTTTTTATTATAAATGTGTTGATATATGATGAATAAAAATCATCAAAAATTTAGTAATGTAATTAGTAAAAAAAAATAAGTTAAAATGTACTATCCCCCGTTCTTTAATAGTTGCAACACTTTGACTTTCACGTTTGCCAATGCACAACTTTGACTATAATTATATTTAATTACGTATTAGTAAAAATTATAAAAAGTTAATATTTTGAAAACTCACATGAATAGAAATTTAATAACATTTTATACATAATAATCTGATTATAAATATTAGTAGGAAGTCGTGTTCAAGGTAAGATGTGTGAAGAGTGCGAAAATCCTAATGTTGCAACTTTTAAGAAACAGATGAAGTATGATACTTTAGATCTTTAATTGATAATATTCAAACATTAACTCTATATCGACACATTTGATCTTTCACATATCTTATTGACAGTGAATTTATTTTTCAAGTCTTGAATTGAATTTCTTACTCCTCCCGAGATTCAATTTTACACAAAGTCATACTATAGCCTTTTAGGCCATTTACCTTTTGACTTACTCTTAGGAGTTTTTTTCCCGAAATAATGTTAATTAAATAAATAAATCCCAAAATACTGCTAGGTTAAAAATAATTCCCAAAATGATGTTGGAATGGATCATAGTTAACAAAACCGCCACTTGAAGTGGCGGTTTACACATATGATCGATCAACACAACAATCATGGAATCATCACCCACAACCAAAAGATGAAATTGAAAAATGGCCCCACCCAAAACATATCCCCTCTTTATTTTAAACTGCTATAACTTTTTTTATTTGTGCTCGGATTGTTACAAAAAATATATAAAAATTCATAAATTTTTATTATATTTCATATGACACCAATATTGCATATAAAAAATAAAAATAAAAAATTAGCAATTTAAAAAAACTTTTGTTTTTAAATTGTTGTAACTTTTTTATTTTAATTCCGATTGTTACCAAAAATATATCAAACTTCATGATTTTTTATTATTTTTCATATCACACCAATATTGCATATATAAAAATGAAAAAATAATTTGGCACTTTAAAAAAAGTGTGTTTTAGGCGACTCTCTATAACTTTTGTTTTCATTAAAGAGGTGAGATGTGTCTAGGTGCTGAAGACCGTGCAATACTACAATGTTCGTTGAGTTATTACCCAGTGAGCCTCTCTTTCGCCCCCCGTCCATAATCCTTCTTCGTTGTGAAAGTAGTCTACAACAATTATTTTAAAAAATTGAAGTAAGGTGTGAACATAGTAAAAGACATGCAGAGTATGTAGTATAACTATGCTTTATTCCAAAATATGATTTATTTAGTCATAAAAAGAGAATAGGAAACGATAAATTTCATTTTTATATATGAAAGACACTTTTTTTGAAGTGCCAAATTATTTTTTCATTTTTATATATGCAATATTGGTGTCATATGAAGGATAATAAAAAATCGTGAAGTTTGATATATTTTTTGTAACGATCGGAATTAAAATAAAAAAGTTACAACACTTTAAAAAACCAAAATTTTTTAAAATTGCTAATTTTTTATATGTAATATTAGTGTCATATGAAAGATAATAAAAAGTTATAGATTTTGATATATTTTTTTTGTAATAATCCGAGTACAAATTAAAAAGTTATATCCGTTTAAAATAAAGAGGAGATTTTTTTTGGTTGGGGCCCATTTTCAATTTCATCTTTTGCTCTGCGTGATTCCGTGATTGTTGCGTTGATCGATCGTATGTGTAAGCCGCCACTTCAAGTGGCGGTTTTGTTAACCATGGTCTATTCCAACATTATTTTGGGAATTATTTTTAACCCAACAGTATTTTGGGAATTATTTATTTAATTAGCATTGTTCCGGGAAAAAACTCTACTCTTAGAGTCTTAGGCGGTGCATTTGTTATTTTTTTTAAATAAACATAACTTTCATTAATGATCATCCCTCAACACGATGTCTGGAATATGAAATGGTGGAATCTCAAACCAAGAACAATCATACTAAAAATAGTCTTTCCTAACTAACGCGTGAGTAGCCTTATTCGCTGATCGTCGCACCTATTGAACAACATTTTAACGATGGACGTCATCATGTGCCTAATATCATCTGACAAAGATGTATCATATGTGCATCCACTTGGGCAATTTATAACACCATGCACAACTTGTTGAGCATCTGATTAATTGGTAATTTTTTGCCCACCATTTTCCTTAGCGCATTCTATCGCTTCTCATATGGCTATCAATTCGGTAGAACTTGCTGCATAATTGCCCCTACACTGTCGTCTCATCCCCGCCACAAATGATCCGAACTCATCTCGAGCTACCATGCCAAGCCCACGTTTAAAACTATCTGGGTCTAATGCAGGCAGTGCATTTGTTAGTGAAAGTGTAATATTTGAGATTAACTTGAAATGATTAATAGTATTATTCATATCAACAAGGTGCATATTCTTTTAAAGGATCTCATTAGCTAACAACTCCAGGTTAAGCGTGCTTGCACGAGAGTAGTCTTGGAATAAGTGCCCCTGGGAAGTTTCATAGGGCTCACATGAGTGAGGATAATGTGAGCGGTAAAGGCTTGTGTTGATTTGTTAGGATAGTACTGGGTCTGGATGACATTTATAAGTAGTTATCTCGGGCCCCGAGGAATTGGGGAGTTACAAATTATATCAGAGCAACTCTACGATAGTGTGTTGATCTGACAAATATTGGATGGGCACTTAGCAGGATAGAATTCTGGGTATATGGGCGTAACAAGGACATTGCATTCCTAAGTGAGGGTGATTGTAATACTTGAAATTAGCTTATAAGGATTAATAGTACTACTCATATCAACAAGGTGCATCTTCTTTTAAGGGATCTTATCAACTAAGATAAGCGTGCTTGCAAGGAGGTAGTCTTGGGATGGTCACCTCTCGAAAGTTTCTCAGGCCGGGCACGCATGAGTGATGACAAAGTATGCGGTGAAGGCTTGTATTGATTTGTAAGGACATTACTAGAGGTCTAAAGAGTATCTATGAGTAATAACCTTGAGTTTGGGGCGAGATCATGGTGTTACAGAAGGTCCCACAATTACTCAGTGTAAAATAGAGTAAGAAAATGTTATAGGGGAGCTCTCCAGTGCCTTTAATCTACACTGTTTTGGTGCATTTGACATATGATGTTACTCTATTAGTGGCTATTCTATGATTTTCTCTAACTATTATTTCTAAATTTATTATAAATAAATTATAAAATTGGATAAGAGTCGTTTGTACACTATCCTTTCACTTTTGCACTACACCTCCTTTGTAGACTTATCTTTCTATCTTGCTCTGTATTCTCTCAATTTTCCTTCATCTTCCTCCAGTTCTCTATTTTGTAACGTTCTTTAAGTAGTACTCTATAACACCCCGACCCCGTAGGCTAGCTATAAGGTTGTTACTCTTAAATGCCATCCAGACCCATTACGTTCCCCACAAACCAACACGAGCTTTTTACTGCACACTTTGTCCTTAGTCCTTACTCATGCGCCCTGAGAAACTTCTCGGGGGTTCACACATCTCAAGACTACCCCCATTTGGTGAACATGCTTAACTTGGAGTTCAGAGCAGATGAGCTTATTAAAAGAAGATGCACCTTGTTCGTATGAGCAATACTATTAACCCTTCAAACTAATTTCAAGTGGTACAATCACTCCCACTTAGAAATGCAACATTTTCATTGGCCCATAAACTAATCTCAATCAATTCCTGCAATCCTCCCTTGCTAAGTGCATGTGTGTTTTCTACTAGATCAGCACATGGTCGCATGGTTGCTCTGATATCACTTGTAACACCCTGGCCTCACAGGGTCCAAGGTTGTTACTCCTAATGTCATCCAGATTCAGTATTATCCTTACAAATCAAAACGAGCCGCTAACAAATATAGATCTAAAAAGAAGCTTTACCATTGGTGGACGAGTTTGATTAAACCTACATATTTATAGACAATAATCAATACAACAAAGGGTGAATAGGAAACTTGCTCCGAAATACCATGGTCGTCATTTCAAGTGAAAGATATCATTGTGAAGATAGCTTGTAAGCTCTAGATATTGAGAACTCCAAATCCATAATGTATTTCACATTTCTCCTTTAGGGCTATATAGAATAACTACCTTTCACTTATCATATTCCAAAATGGATGCAAGGTTGGTATCACTCATTTGTTAGTACTTTTATTGATATCACTTATTCAACGTTTTTTACAAGATGTTGATATTGCGATATTTTTCATTTCTTCACCCGTGGTTACGATTATTAGTAACAATCCATACTTCGCCTTATATAGTACTACCTCCATCCCATTATGTTTGGGACAAAGGGGTGTGACACAACATTTAAGAAAAAATGAAATTGTGTGATTGGTATTGAATTGATAAAGTGTAAATAAAGAAAGAATGAATTGTAACCACCCAAATATTACCAAATATGGTATGAGACAAACTTAATAGGACGGACGAACAAGGTAAAATGAGACAAACTTAATAGGACGGACGAACAAGGTAATTAATAAAACACGCCGAATACATCAGAGGAGAACTACCTTCCACTTATATGAGAATACAACTACCAAATCAAGTGTACTTGACAAAAGAATTACCAAAAGGCAAAATGCAGCAGTTTCCAGTTAGTACAATATTTCGTATATAATATCTCATTCAATGGGAGCATTGGGAGGGTTGCCCTATTGAAGAAGCAGTTTCCAGTTAGTACAATATTTCGTATATAATATCTCATTCAATGGGAGCATTGGGAGGGTTGCCCTATTGAAGATACAGTAATGCAAGTTAGTATTGTTAAAAACGGTTGAATTGTACAGATACTAACTTGTTAGTATTGTTGATGGTTAGTTAATCTTGTTAATAGACTAAGTTGGACTATATAAACAAGCTCATTGATACCGAATTACCGATTGTACAGATTCTAACTTCGAGTAAATCTTCTTCCAATTCTATCTCCCTAAGCTTCACTATATGATTGGAAAAAGAATATGAAACTGTTTACCTATGAACAGTTCGGAGAACAGATAATGCATTCATATCTCCAATTTAGATACTTTCTTATTCTTCTAAAGCTTCACTATAACAATTTACCTCATCACCTATAAAATGAGAGTTCTAGCTAGTTTAAAAAAAAAGTGCATTGCACAATTTGTATGCTTTAAAAAAGAGTACTTTTTGTTATTGCATAATTAAAAAGATCTTGCTAAAATGTATACAACATCTATTTATTTAGTTGGTGCGTAATTTACGTGTAACATAGTTCAAAGTAGGGGTGGGCAAATGGGTATGGAACCGTGGTCCGGTCCGGGTAATGGCGGTTGGGGTCCAAAACAGGCCGTTCCAAAATATGAATGTGCCGGGTACCCTGCCCAACCCGTTACACACGTAATTTCTATTTTTTAAGCGTTGGGGGCAGTGGCAACTTAGCCCACTACCCGATTAGCCCATTAGCCGTTAGCCCTTTACTGAGTAGCTCTAGAGGAGTTACGCCTCTACCGTAAATATATTAACTTACTACTATTCTTGTTACATGTAGGTTCTATTTTATTAACCATAAAATATGACTTTGTTATTCGTAAGGAAATATATTAATTAGGTGAGAGTGAATCAACACAACCATGTAGACGCTGAGAATTACAGATTACAGAACGGGTAGCATTTAACATTTAGCAGATTCAGAATGGCTAAGACCTTAACAACTTTGTAAGTTGTTACTACTTTTAAAAAATAGAATCTGGAACCGAATAAACCGGACCGGGCCGACTCGTTTCAAATGGACCGATTAAGGTCCGATTCTTATTTTCAAAATTGCAATACTCGGACCGGACTGACCCATACAATGGAACCGGCGGTTCCATTTTATTTTGCATTACCCGCCCCGACCCGGCCCGGCCCGTGCCCTAGTTCAAAGGGTAAATTGAAGTGAACCATTCACTATAATTTGTTCATCACATATAAATGTCTTATCACTTTGTTCATTTGATGTTTCTTTAAACAAAATTGTAAATTTTAGACCATATATTTCAAACCATCACATCTTATAATTGACATGTGAGATATTAAGGGATTCCCATTCACATTTAAGGTCCATGAATTGATATCAAGATTGATTAGTGGATATAAAAGTTTAAAACAAAAGAATATGGACAACGACAATTTCGTGCTAAATAACTTGTGCCAAAACATTTTTGGCACAAATTTCGCATATCATTGGCAAATCATTTTTGAATATCTGCCAAAAATCTCTGTCAATCCCGTGCCTTTTGTAGTATTTAATCAATTTCATTCCTTATTAGTAAGCAAATAAAAAAACAGAATTTATAAATTTAAAATGAAAGAAATTTGACATAAACTTCTAATACATTAATTATAAAATTTAAATCAAAAGAGAACATGGATATAGTGTAAAATTCAACATGTCACACCTATTCAAGAAATCATTATTATCATTTAGAGTGGTTGTGACTTGATATATGTTTTATAATCATCATCTTGAACTTCGTATACAATCAGAACTAATTAGAAATAAAAATTTATTAACTTATCCACATAATCATCATGAACACCAATTAATTAATTACATAATAATTGTAACTTATCTGCTCTGAAAGTTGAATGACTTGATTGAATATGCAAAAATGAAGCCAAAAATAACAGGAAATGCCACAATAGCACAAGCAACCACTCCAAGAAAATCATGTTTAAATCCGAAGTAATCATCCAAGAATTGCTTCACTGTTTGATTAGAATCACTCATTTTATCATCAATATCTCCAAATTGTGACACCACCAAGCCGTACAAAGTCCATGCCATGGGACATGCCCAAGAGTACCACCTCCACCATACAGGCATGCTCTGTTTCATGAAAAAGTGAGAAAAAACATTATAAAGTACTTCTAATTGGATAAACATCGTCGTTAAGTGTGTGAAAGTGTGTTCCAAATTTGTTAAATATAAAACAATAAATCAAAATATGTGATCCCAAGCAACTCTTGGAATTATGTTAAATTTATAAATGAAATTGTGAGTCTTAAGATTGTATCAATGCTAGGTCAATTTTGGTGTGTTTGGTTGGCTCCATGTTTGGGTATTCCATTTGGGATATTTTTGACTCATTTAGGATGTTTTTACTTGGAGTGTAATTTGTTGATTTGGTCTGAACTGATTTGGTCTGGTTTCTTGGTATTTTTATAACTATCCAAGTCTGGTCTGGTCTGTTCTGTCCTGTCCTGGGACAGATTACAGTCCAAGTAAGAATATCCTTATCCATCATTCTACAATTGTCTAGACCATTTTATCTTGAGGGACATGATAAAATTTTGTCTCATATTGTTTGAATGTAAAATAACAAAGTACATATAAGAGTCTGCACTACTCGTCCTATTAAGTTTTAGTAAAGAGCGTATAAAACTTACAGGTCGTGGAATGATGAAACCAGAAAATAGATTCCATGCCCCGTAGAAGAAGACAGCGACAATAGATGCAGTGCTTTCGTTGGGAGTAACAGCCACACACATCATTCCATATAAAGTGAAGTACAATAATGTGAAGAACATTATGAAAATGTACCAGAAAAACTTAGATGCCGTCCATTCAAATCCAATTATCGCATAAATAAGGATACCATAAACTCCAGATTGTAAGAGTATGTAAGGAATTTCAATAAAAACCTGCAACATACAAGAAGAATGTTACATTACTTACATATTATCATTCACATTTCTATTGTAGCTGCCAAAAATTAGAAACTCACTTGTCCAAAAGTGTATGGTAATGCAGAATACATTCCAGCTGCCCTCTCTCTGTAGAACACTGTACGTTCAACTGCGACTACAGGTTGTGCTGCTGAAGAGTTTTGCACTCCAAGAAAAAGAACCGCAGTATACATGGATCCCATAGCATTAAACAAATCTTGCCTCTTCCTACTGAAATATGAGAAGAAGAAAAAGAACCACAAAAATATAAACATGTTAGCTTTAAGTTAACAAAAATAAGGCATCTTTCAATATATCTAAAACGTAATCAAAATAGGACATAAAATATACTTCGTTTCAAACTATAGCTCCATCGATATTTTTTCTCTCTCCCACATAAACATCTCAATTATCACATCTCTGCTGGAATTTCAGTAAAAGTTGCTAGAAAAGTTCATATGAAAAGTCATTAGAAAAAGTTGATGGAAAACTTAAGCGTCTGCCATTCACAACGGCATGTGGAGCGATGCCGAGTGACACTCTGGTACTAATTGGAGGTGGCATTCATTGAAATTAAGCCACGACATATTTAGTCTTTTTCACAAAATTTTAAAAGTAGTCACATTTTTGTGTTTCCCCTTTTCCAGCAATATTTGAGAAAAACTCCAAATAAAAAGAATAGCATCAAAATACATGGTTTAGGTGTGGCTAAGATGAATGGCTTAAGGAGTCTGAGCTTACGTTTTTGTACCAAGGTCCCAAAAAATTGTCCCAAAAGCCAATGCTATGATAGTTGTGAAAAGTAATCTAACAGCAGTGTAAGATGTGTTACGCCAATAAGACCAATGTTGCTTCCATAAACATGCCATACATTGGCTCCAAAACCCCTGAGAATATCGAGTGGAGAAACTCAAGTCCTTAGAACCAGGGTGGGGTACGCTTAATTCACTTATTAAAGCTTTATTCCTTGTGTAGTGATCCGAGTTCTTATAGATGTCCGAAAATTCAACGCCTAATGACATCTCTTGAGCGGAAGTTGTCACTTCCAACATCCATGTTGCAGGATTGTATCCGTCCTTGACTTTTTCAACTCCTTGAATTGACTATTTCACACAACGATACTAAATCAGTAATATGATAATAGAATAAAAGTTGAATCATTGATGTTTTGAGGCTCAATACCTCAAAGAAATCGATCAAATGGCTTGAATTACTCCCCAATGGTCCAACATAAATCTCTTGTCCTCCTCTCTTTAATAGGAAGAGCTGCAAATTAAATTGAATATATTCTCATTCCCTTATAGTATTATTCTCAACAAAAAAAAAAATCTCATCACCTTACCCTCTTACATTCAGAATAATATTGGAACTAAAAGAAATTCATCCTAGAAATTGTTATTACCTCATCAAAAGCTTCAAAAATGTCAATACTGGGTTGATGAATGGTGCAAACTACAGTTCTACCTGTGTCAACGGTATTCCTCACCGTTCTCATGACAATCGCAGCGGCTCTAGCATCAAGTCCTGATGTTGGCTCATCCATAAATATTATTGATGGGTTTGCCACTAACTCAACTGCAATCGTTAGCCTTTTGCGTTGCTCAGTTGAGAGACCATTAACTCCGGGTAACCCAACAAGAGCGGATCTCAAATCATTCAACTCCACTAGCTCCATTACTTCATCAACAAACAACTACAACGAAATTACCTTTATGTTAATTTTCTTACATAGACGCATGTTAGGTTTAATAACTACATCTTGTGGTTAAGGATTGATGCTGATTAAAAAGAGGAGCCTAGGGTCTTGTGTGACGGTTTATTATACTCCGTATTATATTTAACCAATGTACGCAAACAATTCAACAATATTGTTTCAAAAATTTCAAACCTTTCTAGTTGTAACATCCACATCATTAGGCAAACGTAGCCAAGCTGAGTAAACTAAGGACTCGTGAACAGTGACAAAGGGAGAATGGATGTCATTCTGTTCACAATATCCTGAAATTCGAGCAAAAGTTTCTTGCTTTTTAGGATATCCAGAAATTTTGATTTCCCCGTCTATGTATCCACCAGTTTTTCTTCCGGCCAAAACATCCAGAAGAGTTGTTTTCCCTGCCCCACTCACTCCCATCAAAGCAGTGAGAACACCAGGCCTAAAGGCTCCGCTTACACCATTTAAAAGAACTAATCTATCATCAGTGGCACCTTGATCTTTCATTTCCTGTGGCATGTCGACAGAGTAGGTAACATTGTCAAATGTAAGGGAGTGAGGTTCAAATGGAAGAACCATTCTTGTCTTTGAGGTTTCGTTCTCCCCGATTTGATATTTTTGTTGATTGGTATTTTGGGTTGAAGTAGGTTCATTGGCAACATCATCTAATATGTGAGCTTGGGGCTTGCCAAATGCTGCCATATGAGTACGAAGTAATTAATAAAAACCTTAAACTTGATTATACATCCAAGAGGAAGATACTCACGATTTAAATATTGGAGAGCTAGTGTGTACAAGATGTTGAATAACACTATGAACCCAAAGAGTGCCACCACGCCTATCCAATACCATTTAGCTTCTGGGAAGAATCCTCTTGATTTCATAATTGCATCTCCAAGCGGTTCAGTACCATTTGTGGAAATCTATGCATACACAACACACGAGTTAATTATTCATAATATTACAATAATTTAAAAAATATCAAAAGTTGGAACCCACGCACATATTGGGATATAGATACTTACATGTCTCCAGCTCTTTCCTTTAAATTCATTAACAAGAACTCCATTAATGGCATACATCAATGGTGAAGACCAGTATCCCCAAATCCACCAGCTCTTCACATCATCTGCAAAACCAGAATGAAAAAGATTCTCTTTCTATAAGACAATTAAAATAATATTTGTACAACATACTAAGGACATAATTTCTCTATATAATACCAAAATATAAGAATTTTCAGGACTACTTATGTTTTATTCTTTAATTACGACTTATTTAATTTAGTTCATAACTTAGAAAATGTAATACTTTATCCTATCCTCTCCCTCCTCTTCTGTAATATCCCTCATCTTAATAAAATCCTGGTAAATGTTCCCCGACATTTACCCCACTGATTTTGGTGGTTTATCTTCCGGGTTAAAAAAAAAGTAATACTTTATCCTAAAATATTACTAAAGCAATACACATGGACAAAATTTAACTACTTTTTAATTATTATTCAAAAGAATTAAATATTTCAGTTTTATTACGTCACTGCCACTGCTACAGATGTCATTGCCACCAGCGGGTGCTTTAATCACATCATTATAAGTGATGTCATTAAAACTACTTTTCAAGTGATCGAATTTTGGTCTGAGAAAATGTAATCCTAGTTTAATCAATTTTTCAAATAATTTAGAGTGATTATATTTTTGTTCATTTTAAAACTAGATGTCATATTATGGTCATTATTACAATACTTTAACTCAATATACGATTAGACAGTAAACTGCATAAATTGAATGACTAGAACTCCTTATGCATTAATTTTTAGTTTTATAGTGGTGGTTTGCAAGGGTAGTCTGTCAGCAAATTATGATGACATTTCCCGGTGTGATTTCTAGTAAGATTTTGACAGTCCAGTGAAGAAGTTTTCTTCACTGACAGTAATTTTTTATCTAGGTAGCTAGTCATTTAAAGCGGATAATAGAATACATGCAAAAAGTGGATAATAGAAGAATGAATGTTTTGGTCAATCGCATTTAAAATCATATCAACTTTTGTACTTTTGCTCTTATTTGTGGAAGTTTCCCTCTAATAAATAACCACTAATGAACACAAACCTCGAGAGAGCACAAAACCGCCAAATGTAAACAACAGCAGTAAAGCAAAGGATCCAAATGTGTTTGCAACTCCCATAGTCCTACCCATAGCTGCAATCAATCGGAAGAATGAAGAAGCCATTTGGTTCACCATTATCAATATCAAGAACTGTTTGAACAACCTGAATCAGTAAAAAATAATCACTTACGACAAATTGAATGATCAATAATATAACAAGTGATGTAATTGTGATCCATATTAGAATAACTAATACACACTATCGTACCTCCCAACATTTGGATCAAAGCCTATGACATAGTAAGAAACAAACACCCATAGGCTGACTTCAACGATTGTAATAGGCACCTTGAGGATCCAAGAAGGAATAGAATAAGCCCAAGGAGGAAAGAATTGGAGGTCCCTTTGCTTGTAGAACACCGGAAGCTTATAAATGGTCATTGGAAGCTCAGACATACCGTTGAACATAACCACAAACACCCCGAAAAACAAGGCACCCACAAAAATCCCACCATCGGTTTCATTATCTTTCTTCATTTCAGTTCGGAGAAATAGGGTCATGGTAACAAAACATATAATCAAAAGCTGGACACATATAAACAAACAACATCAAATGAATAATTGTCATGTATAGTGAGAAAAAACTAAAGCAACAAATTAGTAATGGGTAAATTCCTTTAATAATAGTAAAACATAGTACTAGTACAATTTACTAAATCGCAGTAGCATGTTCAATAAAACTAAATAAGAAATTGGCCGTTTTTCCATTTTCCTTATATTTAGCTTTAGAGAGAAAGAAAATATATATGCTTGAAGTATATGTTATAGAACAAATATACACATCAATTTTCTTTTGGAACAATTGAGCACAAAATTGTAAACTTGGAAGAAATATATCCCTGTGTACAAATAGTTGATGGTATATCTACTCTCTGATATATAGTTTGAGAGTACTATATCATACCTTTCCTTTTAATTATATCTAGAACTTTGTCATTTCAATTTTACTTACCTTTTTAGTGCTACAACAAAAGGAGAGTGTAGTTTAGGTAATTTTTATCCCACTTTCTTCATCTACGTACATACCCAAAAGTTATGTAACTACTACTTTGGGACGATAATAGTATATGGTTAAAAAGCATATGTTCCTATATAACAATCTTTTTGGGTTTAATTAATCCTAACGAAAGTTGATAAGCATATTTGATCTATGATGACATGTAGTTTACAGTATATATGTTCTATCTATCCTTATTTTTTATACTCCGTAACACAAAAAAGAATATAAAATAATTAAATTTGAGAAACCACAACCTTCAGATCGAACACTCTGGCGCAGGTCACCCCTGCTAGCTGCCTAGCAGCCGGTCAACGCCGCAGCCCGCACCATAAAACACTAAACTCTAAATACTTAACTCATACAACACCAAAACTAACCCCCTCTATTTTTAATTTTGGAGTTAAAAAGTAAAAAGAACCCATATTTTTGGCATAAGAAATACGTGGTTATAATTTTGTATCGACAGCTTATGATGATTTAGTTCTACAAGGGGCTCTTTTTAGTTGAATGATTTACCTGAAAGAACTTGAAGATGTAAGCAAATGAGTTTCTTTGCATTAGTAAATACTCTCTATTGGTGCAAACTTTCAACAGCTGCCTCTTCCCTATACCATAGTTCCCTTTTGTTAAGGCAGCGGGGTGGCTTTTGGTTTTATCGAATGGAACTGAAAGCTCATCCGCCATCCTCCTCCCAACATGGAAGGATTGGTACGCCTCCGCAAATTCATTAACCTTCACAAACCTATAAGGTTCATTTCTGCGGATCCAATATTGTTGTTGATCTTTCTTTGATGTCACCTGTCAACAATTAAAATTAGTGCATAAAAGAAGAGAGAACTTATGGTATGTTTTACAAGGTTTTCAATGTTTGATTCAAGATCGACTTGTTTTCAATTCCTTAACAACAATTTAGATATTTAGAAAACTTAGTTTTATTTGGTATAACCTATAACAACCTCCAAAAATTCAAATTTTGAAAACTCCAAAGTGAAGATTCTTATAGGCTAAGTTCTATTGATATGCAACTAAATATATAGATATATCCTTAATTTCTCTATAACTAGCTTACCCAAATAATGACCAAAATTACGTTTTATATAAACATAACCCAATTAGTGTACTTAATTCACAACATATAATAATTTTTTTTCAATCAAAATAGACGATTAATTAATATTAAGAGGTGATGGTAATGCATACTTCTTGCAAGAAATCAGCTACGCCTTTTCTCTGAGGGCATTTGAAACCCATGGATTCGAAGAAATCCAGGATGTCTTCGCGTGGCCCATTGTAAACGACGTACCCATCCGACAACAGAATGATGTCATCGAAGAGATTGTAGGTCTCAGGTGCCGGTTGGAGCAGAGAAATGACAGCAGTACCCTTGAGAATGTGGACAAATTGCCGCAACGAGTTTATGATAGAGTAAGTTGTGGAGCTGTCCAGCCCCGTTGAGATTTCGTCCATGAAAAGAGCTTTTGCAGGTCCAACAATCATCTCACCGGTGGTGACACGCTTTTTCTGGCCACCGGAAATACCTCGTACCATCTGGTCTCCGACCATGGTGTCTGCACATACTTCTAATCCCAAAATCTGCAGCAAGTACACACGTTAATTAATACTATGCAACTTATTATTATGTCTTTTAGACTATTTCCTTAATATATTCCAAGCAAGTTTTCTTAACTTTACTGTTATATCTGTTGATGAGTTAAACTAGATATTACCTTTAGAACATAATCGGTGACAATATTTGCTTCTTGTCCTTCTGTAGCTGCAGCCTGTAGTTGTTTACATGAATGTTTGAAGTTGGATCAACACAATTGAACATATTCATTAAGTATAACAAATTGTAAATTGTAGATTAGAAAACAATACAGAGTAATGAATAAATTACTCCGTAGATATTTATAAACCAGTACTTCATAATCCTACCCTTTAAGAAATAATTACATAAATATGACCAAAATAAAGATGATTTACAAAAGTATGATTAGTGACTAGAGTAGTAATGAAATCATAGTAATTCATGTTCAAGTTTTGAGCTTTAGTTACCACAACACTACATTGTAGTAATGAATAAGTTATATTTATGTAAATATGTTTTATTTTAGTAATATTCTTGTAAAAAACCCATCCTTTAAAACGAGAGCTGAAGTATGGTCCTCCTGCAGGGTTGTAAGGAGTTTCAAATCAAAATAACTTCGGTAATAAAAGCATTGATAAATTCAAGAGTAAAAATGTTGAAAGAATGGCTCCTATTACTACTATACTCCGTAATAGACTTTAGGATTCCAAAAATATAACTAATTAAATAGTTTCCAGAAAAGTGACCCTTCGTTCCTCTCTCAGCGCAATTCATCGCCTCTTCATTCCTTGTACGATCCACTTCTCCGCTTACCATTCCCGCTGCTCACCAATCTGCAGTCTTCATCTTCTTCTCTTTCTTTAGTCTGCTAATAGGAGAGAATATGCCGGGAGATGACATCCGCACTTCCGCAGTTGGCCATCACACCGCCACCGCCTCCAGTTCGCGCCCCCTCTGCCGGCCTCCAGGTCGCCGGAGGCTTCAATTCTTCTTCTGGCCAGGCTCCATAGCTCCATCTCCGCGATGCTCAACCGATGCTGCAACTTTGCTGCCCTAGCCCAGCAGCTAGGGCTATGCAAAAATAAAGATTTTTTAAAAACGGGATTCAAAATCCAATTTGGATAATAAAATGGAGTGCAAATTCAAATTACTTTTTTTTTCAGATTTGGTTCGTGCTGGGTGACTGGGGTGCGTTAAGGGTCGGGGATTGGGGATGGGCGGGTGACTGGAGGCTAGGGTGGTGGTGGGGGGGTGACTGGGGTGGGGCGGTGGTCGTGGGCGATGGTCGGGGGCAGCGGTCTGTGGTGGCGTTAGGGTGGGGTAGGATGGGGACGGAGCTGAGGGGGCTGTGAGAAGTAGGGGAGGATGAGGCTGGGGATATTGGAGACGCGTGTCACTGTGATGGGGAGGCGGCATTGACGGACTGGCGGTGGCAGTCACTAATCTATGGTGGCGAAAGTCACTACACATTTGATCACTGTGGCGGCGGAGTCACTATGACGGCGGAGTCACTGGTGGCGACGGGGTCGCTTTTGTGGCACAGTCACTGGCGGACGGAATCACTGTGGTGGTGGAGTTACTGGTGGCGGCCGCGTCACTTTGATCGAAGTCATTTTGACCGAAATCACTTTGCACTATAGAGTTTTTTTTGGACAATTCTTTCTAACATATATAGTATCTGCTCATTGTTAATATCAACATCCTTACACTATAGAGTTTAATTGTGATATTGGTCACATTTTTCAAAATTTTTAAAAGGAGGTCACATTTTTGTCTTTTGTCTTTTTGGTGGTAATATCCAGGCCAAAAATGTTTGGAAAGTCCAAAATAGAAATCCAATATTTTTCTCCAAAATAAGAATATTTTGCAGTCATTTTGAGAACTTACTATCTTGTTATGGCACTACCGTGCTACCAGACTTTTTATATTTATGACAATATACCGAAAGGAGAAGGCCAAGAGAAAGAAAATGACAAGGAGAATGTGAAGAAGTGTTCTTAAACTTTAGTACATAGTTGCATAGTTAGTAATGGGCATGTTCCGTCCACACACGAAAAAAGAAAATGTCATGAATACCAGTAAAAACGTTACTGAATTTTAAAATAAGAGTACTATGTTTTATCATCTAAATATGAGTAATTAATGTCATGTTTTGACATTATCATACTTTAAATATGATAGTATTTTTCAAGTTTAGTAATGATTACTTATATTTAGGAAATAAAAAATATAAGACTCTTAGTTTGAATATGAATATGGGCGAACTTAATTACCTTCATATACACATCTATATCTGAATCCGGCTTTATATTTGCTGCCTTCTCTCTTCTTGATAGTTCGACCAACATTTCTGCATATATTTTTACAAACATCCAAACAAAGAAAACAATGAAACCCAACCTCATCTTATTAATAGAATGTTTGTGATTGTTTTTACTTTAAAAAAAATTAAGTGATTTTTGAGAAATTGTTTAATTGTAAAAGTTTATAGTGTTTGAAAGAATTGTTCTTTTGATTGAATGAGTAAAAGTTGATAGTGTTTTGGTAAAAAATGTTTTTTGTGTTCTAGAAAAAGGGAAAAACAATTGAAGAGAAAAAAACACTTTGACCATATTATCGTGAAAAGAAATTTATTCATACCCTATATTAATGGAGTATAGTTGATTAAAAACACGATCAACGTATGTTTTGAGGAAAAAATCAAAACTTAAATTGTTGTGACTAATAAAGGAGCAATAGATGAAAAGAAAAAAAAGATGAGAGAACTACGAAAGCAAAAATACAGCCGCCTCAGTCCATGCCTACCTTTCATATATCTTCAATCCTCATTGCATTTATGATAGTTGAAAAAAGTGTTTTGCAAGTCACTTATAAGTGCCAAAATTTAAGTCTAATAATTAGATTTATGTTTGGTTTTATTGTGAGGATGCATGATTTATTAATTTGAGGTAATTTACATCCAAACAAACAAAGAGAGCAGTACAAACCATAACGAGATCCGACACCCTGACATCTAGCTGAGAATTCCAGGGTTTCTCTCACGGTCATTTCACCAATGTGCACATCGTGTTGACCAATGTAAGCAGCTGTTTTTTGGGGCACGAATTCCTCGAGGCCATGCCCGTTATAGGTCACTCTCCCTCCAACCTTTAAGTCTTTATCGAGCTTTCCAGCCAAAGCCAGCAAAAGGGTTGTCTTCCCAGAACCAGGAGGTCCCAATAATAGTGTCATTCTACATGGTTTAATTATTCCACTTACATCATTCAGAATAGTGATCCTCCTCTTCTTGCTCTTGGTTACGTGAAGGACGTTCAGAAGATCCTTTCAAGGGAAGAAAACATACACAAGGTTTTGGTTTTAGTCATTTAGCTTAATCAACAATAATATAATGCACGCACGTGATTGCTATTCAATTAGTGTTTATTAATTTGTAGTTTTATATAGCTAACAATTCCAGAGCTAGGAGAGAATTAAAAAAGTCAAAGGGTTCTCCCAATAATTCGATCAAAAGTAACTTTATACAGATGAGCGTAATTATGTTTACATATGAATTCATGAAATCTTATTATAATTACATTTAATTAAGACTAGCTCTAGCTAGACTAGGTTTAAATGACTGAATGAGCAATATATGACTATATCTTATACGTAGTACTACGGTATATTTTAGTGAGTTACGTTTTGGATATAGTTACACTAAGTTACTTCATTTAATTTGTTCTTGGAGAGCAGTGACACTTTGAATTTTTCTTTATTCTTTTCTAAATTATAAAAAACTAAATTATGAAGAATGCTATTAAATTTGAATTGGATCTGGACAAAACAATAATATCTAATAATGACATCATATGATATGACTAAAAATAAAACTCAAAGTCATTCTTTATCACGTGGCGGTTTGTTAATGATGAAATCCTTTTTTTTTGTCACAGAGTTTTATTTGTTGCATCATGAGTAACCAATAAAAAGAGGCTAAAGTTTTTTATTTCAAATGACGACAAACGACGTTCATGCAAGGAAACTATGAATGTTTGCAAAAAAAGTTTTCACAAGTCTATGAGATCTTATGTAATTTTGTTTGATGCATTTAATTGCACTTTAAATTTAATTTAATAAAATAAACAGATTATTTTTGCTTTGTTTAAATTTTATCATCTGATTTTAGTCTATTAGTTAATGTATATAACTTAGGGTTTTCTCGTCTATCACATTTATATGCACTCTGCAATATATAATGACGACACTTCATAGCTCAGTTCTTCTTTAGTTAGTTGCAACATTCTCATTTTCACGATTATCAAACACAACTTTGATTTTTATTATATTTAATTTAGATTGTGAAAAAAAGTAAATTAAGATTGTGAAAATTTGTAATGACATGCACAAATCCAACAATATTTTTTTAAAAATGATGTTCATGCATTAATAGATAAATGCAGTCAAAATTGAGAATATTATGTATTTCAATAATTAATAGATAATAGACAAATGAATAGTGTAAAAATTTTCTATGCTACAACTAAGAAGAAACGGAGAATATTATGTATTTCAATAATTAATTTCTCGACCAATTGTTCAAGAATTAATTACTAGCTGTAATTGGTAATAACACAATAAACAACACACCTCAAAGTAATTGGTAAAGAAGTTGATGAAGGAAGGCGAAGCTCTGCTGCCTACATAAGCATCTGCCTCCACATTTAGATGTTCGTATCTCACTTCAATGGACGGAAGATCGACCCCAACTCTGCCAATGATTAATTTGTTTAACATGGAAGAACTATACAATGGAAATCAAATACTCTTTTCCTCCCATTTTATTTATCTTATTTTTTTTCTTATGAAATGAGATGAAATATACACCGTAAATCTTACAATGTTTTTCCATTGTCCCAAAAAGTAAAAATACAATGGATACATATATGTAGACCACGGTACTTCACTACTTTATACTCAAATTTTAATTACTACTTTTACTTTTTAAAGTACTTTACAAATAATTGTGTCAAATTAAAAAAATACACATAAAATGGGACGATAAGATAATACTCCCTCCGTCCCGCTAGAAGGTCCTCGTTACGGTTTACGATACTTGACTGGCCATAAAACAACTTAATCCCTATTCACACTTTGATTATTTTTAGTAAATAAATTTTACATATTCAGAAACTACATTAAAACTGCTACAAAGCCTGATTAAAAAATGTAAATTCGATCAAAAATTCATATACAATGTATAAAGCAAAAGATTAAAAATGATTTAAGTTGACCATATGAATAGTAGAGGAGAATCTTCTAACCTGTCAATTCTGTTCCTGAGTTTCAATAAGAACTTCTCATTGTCCTCATCGGTGACATTCACGAGCCTCTTAAGCAGAGTTTGTCTCTCTTGGTAGCCGAGATCATCGATATCCACCTCCGCTGCAGGCCCATCGAGCCCGAACAGAAGCCCTTTTCGGAGGCGATCAAACGTGGGCAGTTTCTCCAGCGCCGCCCACTTGAGGGCCTCCTCGTCGTCCTCGTCTCTCGACGCCCGGGAGAACACCTCGGCACCGGCGTTCCTCCATATAGAATGGCTGTTTGCTCTGGAACTACTCCCTCGTGTAATACCCAAATTCGCAGCCTCCATAACATGCACCCACTGGCCGTTTTCTGACATTCAGAATGTTCTATGCAAATAGATTATCGAAGACCTGAGAGTGTTTTGGCCGTTTGGTGAGGTTCAAGGTGACACTTAATTGCTTTTATAGTGTGCATTTTCAACCCAACATTTTGTCATTTCATTCGACTAAATTAAAGTTGTTTTTTTTTTTGCATTGTCGTCACTGCGCATGTCACGTGCAATTGATTACCGCTTGATTTCATAATTTGAGGATGTCTTTAGACGGATTAGTGGATTCTTACATTAAATGAGTCCTAAATTAATCCAAGCGTTTGAAAAAAAAAACTAAAGTGAATGTTCATTCTTTTCTTGATAAAATTAAATATTTTATGGTATACTACACTTATATACAATGTTACGAAGTTTTTTCCTAATTTATTTTGCAAAACACACCTCTTAA